AGAGTATCTTCTCTTTCAACCATATTATGTTACAATGTAAAAAAATAAATTTCACATATATTTTCACTGAAATTATTTACATATATACAATATTCGTAACGACATTAACTAAGATTTGCTCATTGAGCATTATCAACAAACAACTTTTACGCGCAGCTTTTATGTGGAATAATCCTGCAGTTTACATGAACTAACAGATTTATTTTACCAAAGGGCAGTTTTAGGTGAAATATGAAATTAAAAAAAAAAAAGAAAAAAAAGAAATTAAATAATTATTTTCTCTTGAAAATAAACTGTTAGTTAACTAAACAACCTCTCTTCATTTACTTGTTAAAGGCTGTTTTTCAGAGCCACACAAATGTTAAAATAATTGAAGCTATTTTATTATTAACGTAAAGTTTGTTAGCTGAATATCTGTATTAAAAAAATTAATGTAGTTATTGACCGTTAAAGTAAAATCTTAGATAGATAAACATTCTTACTTTCAGAGCTTGTCTTTCTTGAGGATAAAAAAAAGAAAGAAATGACGTGTAAATAAATATCTTTCCATAAATTTAAGCTTAGGATTAACCTATGTTTTACAGCTTAAAGCCCTTTTCACTTATTTACTTACTTTCTTTCTTTTTAAAGACCTCATCATGCTGATAAAGAGTAGTGTTGCTGGGTGTCTCTCAAATTATGACACCTAAAAGAATACACAGTATAGTTTTCACGTCCAAAAGATGGTTAAAAGAAAAAGGAGTGGCTGAGGAAAATACCAAGCGATTTTTCAGGACTTCCATTTGTACATAACAAGCATTTCCGTGGAATGTGACATTATTCGTGTGAATGAAATATGTGCAAATGAAATATTAAAAATGTATCCTAGGAAACTGCCCAGACTGAAAGACAATATTATTCCAAGTGTTCTTCCTAGTTTACCAAAATATTTGAGTTCGAATAGTCAACCGTCTCGTCGTTTGCTGGATGTTAAACAAAATCTTTACGACTTAGCTAAAAGGCAGAGTTTATTAAATCAAAAGGAATATGAAGGCAGGCCATAAACGAAATTTCAGATGTATAGTATTTTAAGTTACTAAAAATTACTAAATGAAAAAGAGTTTTCAAGGAAATGGCATATTCAGCGAAATTCCGAAAAATTACATAAGTGTGTAAATAAGTATAAATGATAAGTATATACTATGTTACTCCTCTGATATTAAGTTATATTAAAGTATATACTGATTTGAATATTGATATGTATGTAAACAGATATAAAGTTATATATTCTAGGCTTCCAAAACATATTATGCATATTAATCCAATAAATATTTGAGAATCTTTATTATTATTTATAGAGCAACAGATACAGAAGCCAACTCCGCGAACTCCACCTAAGCAGGCTATTGTTATTTTTAAATTAATTAACCATGAAAAAGAAAAGAAAATTAAATTTATTACTGACCAGCTGTGGGAATCTTGTTCAAGTACCAAAAAATTATAAAAGGTATTGCAATTAGATGGTTGTATTAGCTGCGTCATTATATGCGTATTCTGCCTCATCATAGTAGGCAATCTGAAAATGTGGCTCATTTTGTCTACCTCATCCGCGAAACATGCAGAAGCTGATTTTGAAATTTTCATTGTAGAATGCTTTTAATTTGAAAAATTAAAACTTGATTGAGTAATAGATGTAAAGGGAATATATAAATTCCTAACTCTTCGGTGGTTGCGAGATTAAGCAACTGTTTCTTCACAAATACGCGCGATATCTGTCAGTTGTAGATTTGTAATGCGTACCATGTTCGTTTGCGTCCACTAAGGTGCGTAACTGGAACGCGAGTTGAGCTTGTGGATTACCATCAAAAATCTAAACAAGATAAATGTAAAAAGAATCTGTTTCGTCCAGTGCAATAAAGGAATCATGGTGGATTGTAATAAGAGCTAAAGCAAATTCTTTGAAGAGAATTTAGATCTCCGAATAGCCCCAAAAATGGCGATCACAATACGATAACTTTAGTCAACTGATGGATGATGGAAATGCTTAGAACAGCAAATGCGGATCAGGTCGGCGGTCAGAACTTCTTTATCTGGAAGACATCATCTATAAATGCAGGGATGGATTAACCACTAAGCAGTATAAGCACGCGTTTAGGACATTAAGGAAAGAGGACACCCCAAAAAAGGTGCTTAGTTATTCAGGAAAAGGGGCACCAAATTTCCCATCACTGCTTTTACCATGGAATATATGGTGCAGCGAAACGAAAACCTAGAGAGAAAGAAGGAAGGAAAAAATTCTGGTTTAAACATATGTGGAGGAGAGATGGACTACCGTTCCGGAACCGATTCAAAGAACTAAGTCCCTTTACTGAACAAATGATCAGCGCTCCGGCGTAAACGCAACGGCAGATCTTTAACGGTTTACGGAGAGCTTTTGCTGGGAAGCGTGCCAAAATTTAATTCTTCTTATAGTAAACACTAGCATTCTTTCTATTATTATCACTCCCGATTCCCAAGTATCACCGCGACTGCGCACTATAAGCTTGGAGATATGACTGGTCGTCAAGATGCTGCCTTCCAGTACTACGCGGGCTGCAGTTCACAGCAGGACATTACATAGCAAACTCCGTGCCGTCCCACACCAATGCGTCGTCATCTCACTGAACTACAAAGCCAACTGCTCCATAACTTACGCCGACCAACCCAGGCAGGCCAATGAAGTTTCGTCTCAAGGTATCTCCTCCTGGGCAAGTGGAACCGACAAGTTCAATGATAATGTGCCCCAGTGGCCGAGATTACCTAAGTACAGATCATAACCTGTACTTCACAGAGCTCTCTGCGTCGACCAGCCGGAGGTCGTCTTCATGATAATACAAGCTTGTAGATTTTTAACTATGAGAAACATTATTTTTACCTACTTGTCTTTAATGCGGATATCTAAGGGAACTTTACCGATACATTTACATCTTTCTCCATGGGCAGCTATAACCAGAGTACCGTCCGTGCTGAAGAACCTATATCTGCGAAAGTATTTCTTAAGAAACAATCCGAAATAAAGCTGCATTGAGGGTCTGTGTCCAAGAGGGCTGGGATATTATTCACCAGAACTTCAATTTCAGGCAAAACTAAATTTTTCACAATGACTGTATTCAGCTTTATGGGAGAGGGATTTCTGCACCCTCTCGTCAGCAGAAATCTGTTTCAGTTTAAATCTCCTTTTTCAATTTTCAGGAACATTCTCCTTTTTTCTCTGAAATTCGTACTTCTTGTCTGGCTTACTGTTGAATTGTCGACGTTCGCCTGTTGCTTTTGAATTGACGTTTTTCTTAGGCTACTGATTCAACTTGCTTTCGTATTTTTGTTCTTGCCTACGCTGTGGACTTGGAGCACCAAACTGGCTTCATTCCTCATATTGGCATCTTCTATCGTTGTCCGCCGTTCTTCTAGTTTGAAACTGGATTGCGAGCTCAAATAATTTATCGAGAGTCGTAGGGTTTCTTAACTCAATAAAGTCTTGTACCTGGGGGCAGAAATCTGGGCAAAATTACTTGGAATATTTCAAGATCCGGCCAGTTCCATACAGAAGTTTGAATACTCTTCAAAATAAAATTTGACCATTCCTCTATTCTTTGCCGGTATGCACTCAAAAGTTCCGCCTCTAACTTGGATCGATTCCTTACTAACGGGAATGCCTTTAATAAGCAATTTTTAGAATTTTCATACGTACAGGTGAGACTTCCTGGTTAGGCCAAGAGATTTTTTCCTATGCACTTGAACCAAAAGCGCTTGACACCTCAAAGCGCTGGTAGCCAAGGAGACTTTCTGAAATTCATGGACTGGATATAGCATGAAATGGGCATCTAACTTCTCCAGTTGAAGTTGTTGACCTCTGAATTTCCATCGAAGCTTGCCGACGGCTTCATCGATGCTCGCATGGTCTGAACGATGCACCCGGATCAAAGTGATGTAGCACCAATCTGTATTCCCTCCACTGGTGTGAAAGTAGACATGATACATGTATTTCGTTTAGACGGAAAGGCGGTTCATTTAGGTGGAACGACAGCCCTGCCTCTACTAATCGTTGAGGGCAAAAAAGATAAGAAAGAACGCGTTGTTAGCATCTATGTTCTTTAAAATGAAAAAGCTTATTGCTCTCAAGCAGCTGTAAGAATTAAGTCTAAGCTTACTTGTTCTTGTATGTTGTGCGAGATTGCTGAAGAGGTCTTCTAATCTGTGATTCAGCTAAAGACATGAAAGTGCATGGAAGACATGAAAAATTTTCTTCCCGAAAAATAGTTGAAATAATGTTTTCGAAGCCAAACAGAGACCATTTTCGCATGGAAGTGAATAATTATTTCAAGAAGAGAATGGATAGAAATCTGCGTGTGTGTACACTTTGTGACATCTAGGCTGCAAGAGGTCTTGACTTGGGTAAAGAATTCACGAAATAAAATCGCAGTGGTGTTGTAAGCATACTATGAGTAGATTAAAGGGACAAAAATCGCAAATTTACGAGAATTCTTTTGCTAAACATGAGAGATTGGACAGTGGTTCTACAGGATATGAGGTTGCAAGAAATTTAGGCCGGAAAAATAAAGTTTAGAGTTTCATGAGGGTATTTATGAATAGAACGACGTGATTACTCATGAATAATATAAATTTTTGGGGCATAAATAACGGAATAACTATAGATTCTTGAATGTTTAAATACCGGTAAATTATTGTAAATGCATAAAAGTTCATTGTTCTGCATGAAAAATCAGATATTTTCGAAAAGTAAGCCCCAATTCATCTTTTGAAGCAAAAACTAATAACTCTATTTTATTTTCGAGGAACCACGGTATTAAAGAACTAGGGGAATTCATAATAACAATACATTGCTCTGCCTGCGAATGGCAGCATATGTCAAATTATTGGTGGTAGCCAATTGCAATTCAAAGCGGCGACATCAGAACTGTGTAATGTTGCTGCCATTCCTCAGTATCTAAAGTCTATTATAAAAGATAGTTGCGTTGAAAAGACGAAGCACGTGGTTTGAGCAGTTGTAATTGAATTTTAAATCGGAATGCAAAATTATATTTTTTTCATGACTAGTGTTATTGGTTTGAAATACTAGCAAACTTTCGTTTGAATAGATGTGTCGTAAAATCACAAACTATATGTTCATCTCGTAATGACGCAAGGGCTTTAAAATGTAAACACGAAGAATGATATAAAATTGGCAACAAGGCGTGTGGTCTCAGAATAGATTATTTCAGTTTGCGCATTTATAATAGTTATATAATATTAATTATGGTTAACTACTTCAAGCTATTGCGCTTGCGCAGCAAATTCTACGAATCATTTGGGATTTAGATGTAGTAGCTTTGTCTCACAAATCAGTGCCAAGAGTTGAAGTATCAACAAAGTTTAAGAGATAAGTGTATGTCTCCTATCTGCTATTTGCAGCGCGATACGTAGCTCGGATTGAATTTAAAATTTTGTTTTCAAAATTAATGTGTGAGATTAGTTTATATTTTATTCTGTAAAGCTACAGATTTAGAATACTTGTTTGTGTGATATTACTTCTAATGCTGAGTGTTGAATTTGCTAACTTCGTTCCAGTCCCAGGAAGCACGTTTCGCCATATGGCTGTTCCGACTGTTTCGATAAGAAGTTTGTAAAACTACAATTTCATACTGTTATTAGCAAGGTATGTCATATTTTCATTTAATACAAATAATATTTTGAATTTATAAGAGGTAAAACTTTGCATAAGAAAGTTTGTACTTCTCATAAATATTACATTTACATCTTCGTTATGCGCGATATAAACAGTGTGCAATATTTATATACACTGCACTTCCAAAATGACATGTGCTACGAAATCTTAATAAAAATAAGCGAAATAGTGTTTAACAACAAAGGAAGATATTGGATTAAATCCGTTGTATACCCTTTAATAAAGCTCTGTTGGATTTTTTTTTTTAAAGATTAATGCAATACATAACACTCTGTGCGCATCAATTTAAAATAAGATAATTTAAATTTTATTTATTCCAATAATCACAAAAGTGCGATTAACTATTTTCATAATAAATTTCTTTGAAACGGTACTGATTACAATTTACCTTAGCATTGGGACTATAATCTTCAGAATAACTGCACCTTAAAATCACCTTTTTTCTTTGTATATCAATTTATACAATGAATCTGTGATCCCAGTGAAGTAAGGTCTTTAGACTAGTAGATGGCATAAACAGCAAAGCCTGATTTTTAAAGAACCACAACATGTGTAGAGCAAGCAGTATAACTCTTGTTGAAAAGTGTTTTTTCCCTTGAAACTGAGTAATGGTAAAAGGGGTTGATCCAGGGAAGAGGTGCTAAGTTACTAGATTTTTGGCCATTTCTCCCTGTTATCTTAAGATAATAAAAATTTGTTTCTGTCAATATTTATACTTTTTCTTTATTTAAACTTTTCAGATTATTTTGAGTTCTTGAGTTTTACAACCATTTTTAAATAGTTCACATGTCCTAGCAAGGGGAATTGTAAACTTGCCTAGACAGATGTTGACAAAGCATATATAAAACAATCTTTTTCAGAATACTCTATGTTATGTAACTGTTTCTTAAGCATAATAATAGTAGTCAGTTATGTTATTTATCCTAAAATTGCTATATTTAATCTTATTTCAATAAAGTACTTTAAGGAGATTATAATGGTCAAATTTTTACAAATTAAAAAGGGGGTTATATTGAACATAACAGCTGGATTGTTACTATCACAAATTACTCAGGGTATTTCAATGCAATCCCAGCTTTTTATACCATCGATATTTTGCTATAGTCAGTGAAAATAAGAGTTAAATTTGTATTTTCTCATGAATTTAACATTTGCCTTCTTTAATTCCGGTTTCTCAATGTAGACTTTTTGATAGTAAATTCTTTCATAATGAAATCATTACCTGTGAGTGTATCTGCTAGAACACTATGTCTGGATGCTCTTTTCTCTTCTGTAAATATTTATTAGAATTGCTGGGGGGGGGGAACTTTCATTCATAATTCATTCTAGGTCCATTAGCTTTTGATGTTTTGTTTAAAGCCTTTTCTTTATTTCTTTAAATTTCCAGGCATAGTTTATTCAGTTTTATTTTTCTCTGGTGTATTAGTCAACATATGGGATTTTCCTGTACATAATCTTTCTTGCATTAATTTAAAGTTAAGGAAATGTTAAGATGCATCCTAGTGTTGAAAATTCATTTTTAGAATTTTCATGCAGGAGTTTTATGCATTTCAGAAAAGCAAACATTAATAGCGTTTCTCTGCTTCTGCATTATTGTCAGTATTATCTCCAAAAATTTCATCAAAATAGAGAATTTTCCGAAGGCTTCATCTAATGAGAAATGAGCTATTAGTTATTGTTATTTTAAATGTGATATTGGTGAAATTACTTGTATTTAAGTATATTTAATAGAACAAGACAAGAACACTTTTTTTGTTTGAAATTCTGATAACTGTTTCATTCTTGTAGTTGATCTTTGGATTATGGTAACTTGGCGATTTTTTGGCGAAAATTTGGTGACCAACTCTGCTACAGCAACCCTCTATTTTTTTTTTCGCCGCCATTTTCTCTTCACGAAGTAAAGACATGTTTCTTTCTTTTTTTTTACTGAACACTTTTTCCAGCAATCTACTAGTCGAATTACACTTATGCTAGAAATTTTATGTAACAAAACTGCTTAATCATGACAAATATTAACTGCAAAATTGGGAAAAAGTGCACAATCGCAAACTCCTTGCACGTTTTTTTCAGAATAGCTCATACACATAAACCATTTACACACCGTCGACTTTTTACTTAAAAAACATCCCAGAATTGCACAAAAATGGCATTGCACACACTCTTCACTATATCCATGTACACTGCTATTTTCTCATAAATTGCAAAAATTTCACGAAAATGCAAAAAATTTTTGTGAATCTTTAAATTTGGTAAAAAGAACATATATGAAATTACCTGATCGCAAAAAAGTATTATACCCTTTCCAAAGATGAACATTTCCACGTATAAAATAAATAAAATATCCAAAAACTTTTACCTCTAAATTATCTATTATATTATAAACGTCACCAACGAATTCATACTGCAAACATTACAATACTTAGTGTCAAATATTTAAATTATTTCCATGCACGTTTACTTCAACTGAAACGTATACCAAATTCCTACAAACATAAAATTCACAAAATAACTATCATTTAATTAAAATATCACTAAACCATGTACACGTCGACTTATTTTTACTTAAAAAAATCCCAGAATTGCACAAAAATAGCATTGCCCACACTCTTCACTATATCCATGTATACTGCTTTTTTCTCATAAATTAGAAAAATTTCACGAAAATGCATGAAAATTTTGTGAATCTTTAAATCCGGTAAAAAGAACATATATGAAATTAACTGATCGCGAAAAAAAGTATATACCCTTTCCAAAGATGAACATTTCCACGTATAAAATAAATAAAATATCCAAAAACTTTTACCTCTAAATTATCTATTATATTATAAACGTCACCAACGAATTCATACCGCAAACATTACAAATGGTTACAAATACTTAGTGTCAAATATTTAAATTATTTCCAAGCACGTTTACTTCCACTGAAACGTATACCAAATTCCTACAAACATATAATTCACAAAATAACTATAATTTAATTAAAATATAATTAAATTCAAAAACACTACTTAAAATATAAATAAGCACATACATTAAATTAATAAAAATTAGCTTACAATCCTAATTACTTTAAACTAAATCATTGCTAATAACAATTTTCCAATAATACCATATTACTTTATTTACTCCTTATGTTTAGAACAATGCATAAAAATAATATCCTCAAACAATTAAAAATACTAACTTACCTAATCTTCTTCAGAATCTTGATTACGTGGCGGATAAACTTTTCTTATTTCCTCCGCTAAATAAAAAGCAATCGTATGTGTGCCTGTTTCAGGATCTTCAAAATCATACTTATAGTTCACAGCAAGGTACCAGGTAAAATAAATAACTTAATAAAACATCTTTACTTCTATCTCGCACAACCTTAAAAAACACTTATTTACTACCCTTTTCAACTCCCACTAAATACCCATTTCGAATTCACTTTACATAGGGCCATGGGATCCAAAAATTAACCAACACTGTTTCACACAACACACTAATGAAAGCTAAATACAAATTTCCAGATTTCCCCCCTTTTCCGATTAAAGAACTGTAATTCGTCCATTAATGTCACATGACATATCTCATGATCTCTCATTTCCCTCACACAAAATAATGTGTAATCGGAACTGAGTACTTCTCACATTATTACCAAAGTCCTAGGTAGTAACCTTTATCGCCTCCAAAATGTCGCAAACTACCAGTTACCATATTCCAAAGATCAGCCATTCTTGTTATAAATTCATAATGATATGAAATTCATGAAGATCTGAAGCTCTTGTTAGCTATTTAAATGTGCCCCATATGTCTTCATAGTTCAGAACTGCATTATTCATCTGCCTGTGCTTAATTTCCAAAAATGAAGTGCTTTTGAGATTGAGATCGTGTTAAAATGGTACTGCTCTGTTATTGGAACTGGGTTCAGAAATGTATACGTTTATGGATGAATGTGTTCATGTATGCATGTATGTATGTACCTAGGTATGTATGTGTGTGTACATACATACACATGTGCATGTATACATTTCTGAATCGGGTCCTGATAGTGTGTTTTCCAGAAGAGTACCAAAATTTTTCGTAAACTTAAGTGTATTAATACGAGTATCTTGTAAAGTCTTTTTAACTTGTAACTTTTTTTTTTTTGCTGAACTTAAAAAAAATTGCTCAGAACGTTTTCAGATCATTTTCATTTCAATTGATGTGGGAAAAATTTTTAAAGTACATTTGTTGGAAATGAGTGCTTTTCTTGAAAACCAAAATGGCTAAATGTTTTAAAAGACTGCTTAAGAGGTGATACTAGAGCTAAAACCAGTGGCGTAGCGATGGTGGGGCAAGGGGGGACATCTGTGCCCAGGCACAGCTTCCAAGGGGCTCCAAATTGATGCTATGAAATTTTTTAATGAAATGTTTTCCATTTTTGGCACACAGAAAGGGGCATAAATTCTTCAGTTGTCCCTGGGCACTGGAAACTCTAGCTATGCTCCTGGCTAAAACTGTGTTGGTATAATTTTTATTTCTGATGTCTGAGTGATATGCATGTTATTGACGTGTGGCCTCTCTCCCATTCTTGCCAAGGAGAGAAAACATATTTTTAATTTGTAACCACTTGAATTTAATGCAGATTTCAATGATTACAAACTGTTTTTCCTTTCTTGTGAGCAGAACTCGTTGTATGTAGTTTTGTATCCATCGGACCTATCTGAATTGCTAATTGTGAAATAATACTGTTTTGTCTGTGCTATCTTATTCCAGTTTAATTTCCATATATAATGATATTTACACATCGCTCATTTTTATCACATCACATGTTTAGTTAAAACATGTTCAAAATCTTTTGTGCATTATTGATTTTGTAGGAAAAAAGTCTATGCTTGTTTATCTATTAAACTAACTTCATGATGTTTCAGTAGGTCATTTTCTGAAATTATGTCATTGTTGTTAAGGGAACTTTTCTTTAATTTTAAATTTTCATGATTTTAATA